AAGAATTGATTGATTTTGTGATTCACAACATTCAGTGTCTGTCCCCTCACTCCACCCGAACTCGTATTCACGACAACACTATTACTCTCATCGCAAACACACCGTTCAATTAAACCCACGATTAAAACAAAACACAATTTATTTGCAAAAATCATATTTAAAACATTAATTTCAAAATCAATTCATAAACCGTAACAATAAATATCACCAACTTTATAAGGTATAACACTTTTATACAGTATTCAATATTTTCAAACTTAATGCACCAATAAATAAACCCTTGAAACTTTATTACACAACACAATACATATCTCCATAACTGATAACATACAGTAATGTCTGGGTGTAGTATCAATATAACCCTAATGCACTTAACGTTTGCACCTAAGGAAGGTCATTTAAATAATTAGTTTTAAAATACTGCAAATATTTAAGTTCTATGTATTATATTAAAATTATATAATAAATTATGCTTATCTTATTGATTGATTTTTAATATACAATGTTTCTTAATATTTATAAAATGAAATTTAATTAATATTTACATTAAATTTTATAAAAAATATAATCTTTAACAAAATTAACATTAGATTCCTAAACTTAAAATATTGTACTTATTGTATGACTATTTTAAAATAAATTTTATTAATAATAATGGCTCCAAACACTATCACAAGTAGTTTTATAGGGATTGTCCAAAATAAGTGACATATCGTTAGGATTCAAGTCTTTCACTTTTGGCACAGAATTTGTTTATTAGTCAAAAACAGTGGCCATTCCTCGTGGGGTTTACTATAAAAATAAATTTTATTTATTTAGGATATTTATAACACATTCATTCATTTATTCATTTAACAAAACATTCCATAAGCATCACATAAATCTAATAAAACACAAATCTCTTACATATTTTTAGCGAAATTGGTCCACATTTTCATGACATCTAAACTGAAAACATAATCCGTTTCCGAAAACATCTGCGGATTCCTTACGGGCTTTCCGTAAATACACTGACTACTGGCCCCATGACACATATGCCTATCATTACACCCAAACACAATCATCATATTTGGCTGATAACCCATACGATAAAAGTAGACATTTCTACCACTTTTGGCAAATCTCTTTGCAAACGCATACATCGGACAAACAAACGCTAATTCCGTATACATTGCAGTGAATGTCTCGACCATTTGAGCGCTATTTTCATTGTCTATATCTTTGAGATAAAATTGCATCACTTTCTCGACGTCTATATTGAGAAACACTTCGTTCGCATCAATCAACGACTCGTGAAATAGTTTTCTCGTGAAATTGTCATTCAATTTGGGAAAGAGTGCGTCCAATGTAAATATCGGCATAACCTCCCCTTTCATGGCACCGGCCATCAATTCAATATCTAAAACAGTGGTTTAATTTCATTATAAATAATAGTAATTGAAATCAAATAGAAAATATCACAAATTAATAATTATTTTAAAATCATAAATTAGTCTCAAGTATTGATATTTACCTGAATTATAGTTTTTAGTTTCAAATGCTTTTTGTGGTATAAGTGGCAGAAATTGAGTGCCAAAAATGACTTGAGAGACACCATAAGTGAGATCGTCTTCATAGGGCTCCAGAAACACATTCGGGTCATCAATGGCTCGCAAACAGTCCAACCATTTGTAGTCATATTCATCACAACCCAACTCACGGGCTGTATCTTTGGCTTTACTCAAGGCTTCAGCTGTACTTCTGAGGGGTCGGTCCCTATTGAACATAAGGACTCCGCTTTGCATAATAGCCCTCTTAAACAGAACCTTTGATAGGGGAGACAATATGTGCGCTGATACGGACCAACTGCCGGCGCTCTCACCAAACATAGTAATCTCATCCCTATCCCCACCAAACAAATGGATATTATCTCTAACCTATAATTAATAATTTGAGTATCAATTACTTAGATAATACAAAATAAAATACCCATTTAAGAGCGAACAGTTGATCGTAAAGACCTAGATGACCAGGTGCTGTCTCATCGTCACCGTGTAAAAAGCCTAACCGTCCCAACCGATAGTTGGCCGACACGACCACCACATCATAGGTAGTCAATACACTTGCGTTGAATAGGTTAGCATATATTGAGCCAAAATGAAAACCTCCGCCGTATTGGGAAAATATTACCGGTTTTAAAGCACCGGAAGGGCCAGTATGTTGTTCACCTGGAGACCATATATTCAGTGTTAGACAGTATTCACTGGTTTTTAATAGCCCAAAAAATTGATTTGTCATTTCTGTTTGATCCTGAACACACGAGTGGCCTATAACTGTGCCATCGATGATATCCTGGTCATTATAAATAAATAAAATATGCATTTAACTTGCACAAATTATTGAATTACCTGTTTGGGTGTAATGCATTAAACATTAGTATGTCTGAAATCTAATAACCTAATGAAGCATAATGTAAATTGACTTTAATATTACTGTAATATTAAATAAAAATGTTTCTCTTCATTTAATAAATAAGAAAACACATTTTATAAGCCATTTGAACACGTGTTATATTTAAATAGATATTGATTTTAGTTATTTCTAAAAACGTGTTAAGTTTTAATATTCATTTAAATAAATAAAAGGTTTCAAAAATTGATTTGTATATTAAACATTTATAGCAATGTAGAGTAGGATGACCAGAAATGACTATATTACAGCATTTGTAATGACATTCTCAAAACCCATAAGGGCCCATTCAATAAGTACGTACGCAAAAATTTGTCTAAAAATTGACCCCCCCTCCCCCCGAAACGCCCCTCGTACATAGGACTTTAACATTGTGTACGCATGCCTTG